TTTTTTTTTTTTTTTTTCCTACCAAGAAAAGAAGCCAGTTCAGTGGATTTTGTGTAATTCAGCTGTACTTGTAATTTAAACCTCATCAATGGCCACTTGTGACATGCTTTCCTTGTATTTTTAACCCAAATTCTTTAAAAATATATATTTTGTTAATTTTTAGAGAGAGAAGAAGGGAGAGAGAAGAAAGAAACATCAATGTGAGAGCATGACATCAACTGGCTGCCTTCTGCATGCTCTCTACTGGGTATTAAACCTGCAACCTGGGCATGTGCCCTGACTGGGAATTGAACTAGCAAGTTTTTGGTGCATGGAACAATGCCCAACCAACTGAACCACAGCAGCAAGGGCCCAAATTCTTTTTTGTAAATAGCAAACTTTAGGTGGAACATTATCGATTGAAAAAAAATCTCAATATTTAACAGCCATTATTCGTGTGACAATGGCTCTGAGGTAGAATCATGTACTGGTTAAGTCCTTGGGCTCTGATGTTGGTCAGGCCTGGGCTTGAATGTGACTCAGTATCTAGGTGTGTGATCTTGGGCAGATTGCTTTACTGCTCTGTGCCTCTGTTTCCCCACCTGTAAAGCAAGGATGATTATAGCACCTGACCTATTGGGCTGCAGCAGAAGTCAGTGATAAAATCTATATAGAGTGCTTGGCCTAGTGCCTGTATGAAACAAAGGCTCCATAAATACTAGCTATTAGTATAATTCAGGAATATGTAAAAGAATTCAGGAAATGAGCCCAAGGAAAATGGAATGTACCCCCCATCCTGTGGGGTTGGCACACATCAATGGTAGAGCCCCTTTTCCTGCTGCATATCTCATTTATTTTGGGGAGAAATCTGGTTTCTGTTACTGTCATGTGGGGGATGAACATCAGGAATGGCAGTTGGTTCTCATATAGCAAGGAAGAAGTGGCCACATAGAGGGGAGTGTCACAGAAGGGCAGCTGGGAGACTGGGGTAAGCTGTGGGAAGGACTGGAAGGAAAAGGGTGAGGACACTGTGCCAGGGGACCTGCCCAGGTCACATCACCTGTTCTTGGGCAGAAGATTCCCAATGATGTGATTCACTGTGTGCGTTGATATATTTGCCAGGGAAAAACAATTTTCTTTCTTTCCCTTTTTCTTCTTTCCTCTCTTCCTGCTTTTAACCCAGATATCTGTGGGGCCCCCAACTCTTGCCCTAGGTCCAGCATGGTTGAGCCCTAAAAAAGAAATAACATCTGTGGGATTTCTGCTATATGCCAGGCACTTTAAATCCCTGATCACATTAGGTCCTGTGCAATGAGTGAGATCATCATCATTTTATAGATGAGGAAACTGAGTCTCAGAGAAGGCACAGGAGCTACCTAAGGCCTTCTACAAGCTGGTAAGCGGCAGAGCCAGAATTTAAATCGCCATCTGTCTTACTCCACAATCCAACTTCTCCTGCCATTTAGCACATAACTCTATACCATACTTTGCTTCGAACTCATATGGATTTTTGTGACATTCCTGTGGCTCAGTGCCCTACACATGCGTCTCCCAGAGATATTTGTGGATTTGAAATTTTAGTAATGAAGAGAATAGCTGACATTTACTTGTTCCTGCCTCAAATGGAAAAAGCAGGTTAAGTCACTTGCTCTAGTTCTCAGAGCAGATCAGTGGCAGAGCCAGGTAGGGGATCCAGTCTGCTACATGCCGAGGTGTGCAGTGCTAACTCCTACTTTTCTTTGAGAGTCTAGGCTTGAGGCAGGAATGGTAATCTTTGAGCACATCTTTCTTAGGTAACATGTGTGGTATTCTCTGCTTTAAACCAGTCCAAAGGGGAACCTAAGAGGGCCTGAGTGTGCCCATGGGAAGGGTGAGGTGGGGGGGGGGTGATGGCAATGACTGTGGGCCAGTTGTGACGTATGAACTTTGTGACCTCCTGTCTCTGGGCACAAAGCTGGAATAAGCCCTGTGATTCAACAGCTGGACTCCTCCCTGTGCTTTCTCCAAGCAGGTCCTGTACGTTCCCATCTGTAGACCTTAGCTCATACTGTTTGCTCCACAGGAATGCCCTGCTGCCCACAACCCCCTAGCCATGCCTGTCTGGGGAAACCCATTACAACTGCCACCCTCTCTAGGAAGCCTCAATGGATTGGCATGGATAATCTATTCATTTCTGAACTTGAGTCAAGTAATTTATTATATATTCAGAAAAGGCAAAGGGAAGACTATTCTGAGAAATTTGTGAAACTACCATTCTCAGAATAATGCATGTTAATGATAATCTTAATATGTGAAATTCCAATGGTCAGTGACCCTATATGGTGCTTGATTTCATTTTCCAATCTTATTCTACCTTAATGGCACGTGAAATGGGTTTCAGCTCTCCAGTAGAATGCAGGAGACTTTGAGCATTTGCATGGGCAGAATCTGGTGTCAGACAGCCTAGGGTTGCATGCTGGTGAACTTATCTGTGCCTCTATTCCTTCATCTGTGAAAGAGGGATACTTATGCTATGTTGTTAGGTTGTTGGGGGATATCATGGGGCAGTAACAATTGCTATCTCTTATTGAGTTCTTCCTATGTGCCAGGCACTGTGCTAAACTTGGCTTTATATTTTTGTTGGCTCCCAAGAGCTCCATCATTCCTGCATCACTCCTCCATCATTCCTCCATCCCCTACCCTGCAATATTTTCTTCCCCATAGCATTTATCATCTTCTGCCATACTAATAATTTTCTTACTCTGTTTATTTTTCATCTGCCCCTTCCAGGGCTTCTTGCCTTGCACAACTCCAGGAGGCACCATTTGCACTGTATTCCGAGTTCTGCACTGGGCTGCTTTTATTAATGTGGTGAATTCTTGGAGTTGTGTGATGTGGAGACCTTGGAGCTCTAGGAGGGCAAAGATTTTTTTTTTCTATTTTGATCATTGCTGTATCCCTGTACCTGGAACAATGCCTGACTTATAGTAAGCTTTCAATAAATATTTGTTGAAAGACAGAATGAAAAAGCTCCCAGAGAGCCCATTTTATTGGTGAGAAAACTGAGGCTCAATGAGTAATTAATTTGCCTAAAGCCCAGCAAGAGACGGAGGCAGCTGGGTGTTTCCAGCGTCCCTGCCCTCAGTGGGTTTGCAAAGCTGCATGTTTGAAATGCCTGACATTGTCCCTGCCACCCTGCAATTGCTCAACAAATATTAATGAGCTTGCCTACATGGGCCAGCCCCTTGACTCTGCTAGACAATCTCCACAGAGTGACAAATTGTCACATAGCTGTTGCTTTGAGAAATAGGATAAATTGCATGGTGCAAAGAAAAGGTGGACCTTTTAGAGATTTTGGAATAAAATTCCCTAATCCTACTGCTAATGGTAGGAGTTTACAGGGGCCGCTCTGACCTTCCTAGCCCTATTCTTTTTCCTGCTGCCTTCCCTTTTGTGAGCGTCTCTTCCCCTTTTTTGCTTGCAGTGAGTTCTGCTCTCCTGTAGGCTACAATGTGTCAGTTGTTATAAAATCCGGGAGGTGGAGCTTAGTGACGAGGGCGAGGTTGGTGGGGGAGTGCTCAGCCAGCCCTGCAGGGCGAGCAGTCCAGCTCCGGGTTCACCAGAGCTTAAGCCTTGCAGCAGGAGAACTTCCTTCTCGCTCTTCTGGCTTTGATCCTCACTGTACATCAGACCAGAGGCGCTGAAGGGAGGGAGGATGCGAGATGACCGGCCCTTTGGCAACCTGACCATCTCTTTAGCAGAGCCTTGGAAAGCCAGCCAGGGGCTGACTGCACGACCGAGGAGGCGCCGCACCTCTCCTGGATGTGTATTTGTGTGTGTGTGTGTGAGCGGGTGAGTGGGTGTGAGTGAGGGAGGGTGTGTGTGTGTGTGTGTGTGCATGTGTGTGCGCGCGCGTGTGCCTTGTGACTTTGTGTATGTGTGTGTCCAGATGAGTGTGTGAGTGCACGCGTGAGAGTGTGTGTGTGTGTGTGTATGTGAGCGAGTGCTCTTGATTATTATTTTTTGTAAGAAAAACCTTGAAAATCTGGGGCAGGTTACCGTGCTCCTTGGTTGGTGATTCTTCTTTTGCAAGAGGAGGTGACCAGACCAAGTGACTAGAGACATTTTTCGGCGAGTAAAGAGAATTTTCCTTCCAGAAGGAGAGGGATTTTTCTCCTGGCTCTGCAGCCAAGTAAAAGAGATTAGCCCCTAAACCTGTGAAATCGACCAGAGCCGTGTGATTACCAGGGCTTGAGAGAGAATACGGGAAGAAAAGGAGAAATAAATTAAATAGCCTGCCAGTGCCTTTGGCCACGTTGGAAGATGTCATCTCAAACTAAGTTCAAGAAAGACAAAGAGATCATTGCTGAGTATGAAGCCCAAATAAAAGGTGAGATGCGGGCTGGGGAGTCATGCCCCCCCCCTTTCCTTATTCCCTTGCTTTGGCTCCCCGCCTTCCTCCCTGCCATGATGAAATGTTGTTATGCATCA